ATAGATTTTTAAATCACTTGATTACAGGCAATATTATATTTCTAATGGTTTTTATATTCACAATCAACTGGTAACATGTCTCTAACCAGAGGTTTTGAAAAACAAGTTGTTTTGTTTTGCTGTGCATAAATTACAGATCACAAAGTTGAGATTTGCATAAAACTCTCCTAAAGCAATACATTATATGACCTTGATTCTTCACAGATATTACATTTAAGTAGTTCTTTCTTTCTTTGAGAAACTCATATATTTACATGTTGACACGGATTTAACTAGATCAGTCTATGCCCGTGATGGGGGCAGTAGGCCCATGGCCCCCCTTTGCCTCCCAGGCCCCACAAAATGGGAATAAAAAAGGGAAAAGGAATACAGAGATGAGATCTCAGCTCAAGGAAGGAAAAAAAAAGCCAGCATCAGTGACCTATGGAGGAAAATGTATTTTACTAACTGTGATATCAAAATGCAAGATAACACAATATAATACAATCTAATTGAAATTGAGACTAATAAATCAAATAAAATAGAAGAGAGAAAGATTTCCTGAGACTGAGTCAAACCTGAAAAGCTTGTTACAGCTAGGAAAGCACCCTCCAGCACCCACTGCAAGGCAGCAAGAGACCGCCCAACCCAGAGGGGCCAGATCCCATGACTGGGACAGGTACCCAGAGTTGAAGCATTAACACTTTAACTCCCAGTGCACTACATGATGTTATGATGTGGAATACCGAAAACCAAAAATCACAAAGCCATGACACATATGAAACCAGACTCACTGAAGATGCGCACAAAATATTTGAATTCTTATTGTGTCTTGTTAGAGATCTGATTTCTCACTCCAACTGATTATTTATAGTACCTAGTCATAAAAAAAGATTGAAATGTGAAGATTTCTGTCAAATACAATCCCATTATACACTTATAAATTTGCATTTAATTTAAAAGTAAACTTAATTCTAATTTATTTTTCTTAAAATAATACTGGACTAGTTTTGTAGATAATTTCTGTTTTTAGATCTTTGTAATCTCTTTTAGAAATCTTTCCTCAACACATGACAGATTGCACTGCCCACCTTCTAGTTAGCAATTATCTGAATTTCTAACTTATAAAAACACTAATAACTGAGATTTCATAGGCACTTCTTCCTGTTAAAAATAAGGCATTTCAGGCGGAAGCACTGGTATCTGTTACAGCTTGTGAGATTATGAAGCAGAAAGTGTTAATTAAACCTTTATTTATATTCAAAAAGATATATGCAGTCCTAAGTGCCTTCATCTGTAATGTAACAAAGTTAATAGTAAACTCTGCTAATCCAGCGTGCTTAGAAGTGATATTTTTGGAGATAACATTTCAGATACTTGTGACTGTTCATCTGTTATGAGTAGATTAGCAACATTTTTGGAATGAAGAGCTTGTTCGTGCTGCCCTCCCCTTCTCTCAGAGCTCAAAGTTGTCTTGTCTTCTTGTCTCATCTCCCTGAAATATTTACTGTTCCTTGTCTGCAGTATCAGCATCTCTTGGGAAAAAAGCATTTCAATTCATCAAGTTGAGCACACGTTTTGACACTGTTAGGTTGAGTTCTTCTGTAAATCAGTCCAGCAATCATTTTAGGACTGAGTAGCTTTATGTTCATCCCGTCTTTCTGGTCACCTATGCATTGATTGGTCTCTGTTGTAGTGATTTTCTCTCTGTTCATTTTTTCTTATCCACTGACTACCCAGCCTGTACTCTTATTATATGAATACCAGCTTGCAGCATTTGAGCACATCAGTGATTTACTGCAGACTGATACTAACTAATCTTTTCCACAGAATGAATTTGTATTTTCTGTACCAACCCAGTCTCAAACAGATTTTAAGGCCATATGCCCTTTGTCCAAGCACTCAGAGGTCAGTAACAATGAACTATGGTGGCCCAAGGGATACGTATCTGAGAAGACAGACATGATACAAAGCTAATGAGCTTGTGAGATTGTACCAATGTGGTCTGAAGAAAAGGCAAATAATCTCCATCAGAGATTATGTTCTCCAGCAGCTGAAGTTTCAAGATACTTTTCTCAGACTGACCACAAAATAATGTTAGGACGGGAGGGACACACGTTATTCAAAGCATGAAGATTTCCACAGATTTCTAAGACAACTGCTACTTGAGACTCAAGAAGCAGAGGGATGTCTAAAGTATCAATAGTTTTTGAAGCTAAGCTGAGCTAAATCCACTTATGGATAAAGCTGCTGCAGTCTTTGTCAATTCCTGCACTTTCTCCGTTAGTGATAATACACCTGTATTACGAAAGCAAAGACGCAGTATTATTCAGAAATAACATAAAGAGTTAAAGAGTATTATATGACTACTAATCAAACTGAAAATAAAATGAAAGAAATCCTCTTAAAAAAATGTTTATTTTTCTGTATTCAGCAATGAAAGTAGGAAGAAGCATATTAGTGACCATGTCATTTTATTATGAACACAAATATTTAAATCAGTGAAAGGTCCTTTGTGTCCTTGACTTCTACAACATAAATTTTTGAATCTCTGGCCTCAGAAGGACTTAGTAAATCATGAAGTGCTGGCTGGTCATTGAATTTCCCTTGCTCTTTTGTAAACATTACAGTATTATTGGCAACCTTTGGCTCTATCCTTCAAATTTAAGGCATATGTAGTGGATGCCTGTGCTAATTCAAGTAACATGGTTAACATCTTGTCCTGGCTTGAGACTGAGGAAATATGGGCACATCTTAAATCCAGTGGAATTTTATGTTTTAAAGCACATAGCACTTGCTAAAACTGCTTCCTTCAAGCACAGGATTTGCTTCACACTACTCTCTAGGAAGTCAGTAGTGTTTAAAATAAACTTCTGCAAAAATATTCTGTTGGATCACAGCTTAGGATGGTAAAATACAAGTATGGGTTTTCCAATCTCTTGAAGAAGTTGAATGCTTGTTACGGCAGGAGCCTGAGCAAAGCAATGGTGGTGTTTTCCCATTGCAACCCCACCACATCTTGGTTCCCCCTCTCTAGGAGGGTTTCTCCTAGCCACACTCTTATTGACATCTCAGGATCCTGTGACATTGTGCCCCATCCACTAGAAATCTAAGTGGAAGCTCTGCAAAACAAGTAATGCTTTGCTAACCTGCATTGACAGAGGAACAAAAAAGCTTAGAGTTTGTTGGTGTGTCTTGTTTCTTTTAAAGAATCTTTCTTGCATCTTAGTAATTGTTTGTTTTTAATTAGTCCACAAAGTTTATCTGTTGTGCCTTTGAACAGAACACACACATGCAGAGCTTATTTTTCCTATTGGCTTAAGACTGCTAGTTTTGACACCTTTGTAATAAATCTGTTGGCTAGATGCAAAGCTTTGGGCTTGGCAAGTCTTTAGGAAATCAAGAGGGGAGGTAGCAATACTTGAAAGAGCAGTTCCAAAGGCTATAGATTAACAGGAATCATTTCCAACTGAGCTAACCTATTTAAAAGTAGCAAATACATGAAAAGGAAAGCTGGTTAGAGTGAATTACCAAAGAAGTGTTACTTCTGGTGGAGTGAATTTCAGCACAAAAATCCATCTTTCTAAATGTCTCTAATATTTATGCCCCAGCCCTGAAGGACCAAATATACTCCATGGGGATACTATGCAATCCCTATCACCTACTGTTTCCTACTGTCTGGTTCCATACCTTCAGAATTGCAAAGCCAATTTGAAAAAATAAAAATAAAAATGTCTTATGGTGAAACCAGATGGGATGAATATTTATGACCAACATTGTAGTTCTTGTATTACCAGGCCCAATTAAGCTTTAAAGTTTGTGACAAGTGGGCATCTTCATGGGGTAATTCAGAATATATATCTGGGGAACTACTCTTAGCAATGAGAACATTTCCCTTAAGGGTTTGAATTCTTGGATGCTGCTGGAGTATCATTATCCTTACAGATGTCAAGCTGAAAAAATTTGAGGCCTAAATAGCACTGCAGAAACTAAATACATCTGTTTTTTTTGGAGCCTTCAGAGACAGATAAATGTCATTAATTAAATTCTTCATATACTCAGTGGAAGGAGGAAAGCTCCTAGGCAGACTTCTTGTTCTGTCTTCTAAGCAACTCCTCCTACACTATCTTTTCTTCCCCCCCCCCCCCCCCTTTTTTTTTTTTCCTGAAAATCAGTTATTACCACTTTTTCATATTCCTTCTCATAATCTTCAATATTTTGAAAAACATTTTCATGGTATTCTATTTCCCTCCAAAGGAAAATTTTGGAAAATCTCCAAATATTTTGGAAACATCTGTATTCTTCAGTGTAGTTGGATGGAATTAGTGTATCCTGTCTCCCTTTCACCTGCCTAACTGGAGCATGTGGGATCATAGGATCAAAGTCAATATAAGGATACCTACCTTTTGAGTAGGATTATTCAAATTTTAAGTGGCTCCATACAGTACTTTTCTTTCTCCAATAACTGAAAAGAATTTGGGCATGTGTGCTCATGTCTTGGAGTCTTGGAAACCTCTATTAAAAAAATATATATGTTTTTTTAAAAATGTCTTTTATGGAGATGAATTGATATTTCCATAACAGAGATTATTAAAATAACATGAGTGGTTTCTACTGGAATGCATATCTTTGTGTAATGTATAAATAAAACAAAGAGCACAGTATTTACATCCCTGGAACCTCTGATGAATATAGTTTTTCTCTTTTGAGAAATCTACCCTGAATGTTCCTTATTATTTCTGAGTTTGAAAACAATTCTTGGAGAACCACTGATTGCAAAAATTTGCATTACAGAGAACAAAAAATCACATGATATAACATATGTTTCACAGCATTTCATTTCTTGAACTGTTCTGAGAACACTGCAAATGTATTTAGGCATAATCAGAAAATTTCAATCACTCTTTCTAATAAATGATTACTGGAGCTACTTATGAAAAGACTGTCCTTCACTTTGCAGCCTGTGTTACAATGGCTCTTATTTGTTTAATAATTTAGTCTCTTTATATTATTTTTATTAGAATGATGTGGGAGGTCAGCGGAGCCTAATAAACAAATGGACTACTTTTCTGAAAGCCAGGCTAGTGTGTTCAATACCTGGTCCTGAGGGAGCCGACACACATTTTGATGAGCTACGTAAGTTGATTTATCTTTAATAACTTATTTTGTCATCAGATTTGCTTGTGCTTCTTTTTTTCTTATTATTCTTTACAGAAGTACCACATCTTATTCTGATTTTACTAATTATCCAAGCAGTACTGACAGTATCTAAGAAGAGTGATTTTTGTAAGCAATCTGAGAGGAACAAACTCCTATATGTTATCCAGACTCTACCCTTAGAGAAGTGTATTGCCTACCTGGGGTCCTGGTCAGGAATACTTCTAGGAAACCTTCCAGTCTGATTCACCTCTCTGGTTATTATCCTTTATTGATAGTTCAGGTCAGAAGTGACTAAGTCAGTGAGAAAGAACTGAGAAATGTCAAGAGGGACTTTGGAACATTGGAGTGGTTAGTTGATGGAGCAGGAGTACAGATGGTGTTCTCCTCTATCCCCTCAGTGGTAGTGAGGGTTACTGAGAGGACTGAGAAAACCCATCTCATAAATATGTGTCTGAGAGGCTGATCAAATTGCAGGATTATGTATTTGTTTGTTTGTTTGTTTATTTGTTTAAAACATGGGACAGTTTACTTGGCACCTGGTCTGATATCTTCAGATGGGTCTCACCTGTCTCATAGGGGGAAATGGATCCAAGCCCAAGAGCTGGCTGTGGTGATTCCCAGGGGTTGCTACTGGGGGTTGTTTTGTTCAGTTTCTTCATTGATGACCTGGACAAAAGGATTGAGTGCAACCTCTGTAAGTTTGCAGATGACATCAAGTTGGCTGGAAGTGTCAATTTGCCTGAGGGTAGGAAAGCCCTACAGAGGGATCTGGGCAGGCTGGATCATTGTGCTGAGGCTAATAGGATGAAGTTCAACAAGACCAAGTGCTGGGCCCTGCACTTTGGCCACAACAAACACATGCAGTGCTACAGGCTTGGGGCAGAGTGGCTGGAAGACTGCATGGAAGAAAAGGACATGGGGCTGCTGGTTGATGCTCTGCTAAATGTGATGCAGCAGTGTGCCCAGATTGCCAAGAAGACCAATGGCATCTTGGATTGTATCAGAAACAGTGTTGCCAGCAGAAGCAAGGAAGTGATCATTCCTCTGTACTCAGCTCTGATGAGGCTGCACCTTGAGTACTGTGTTTAGTTTTGGGGCCTCTCGCTGCAAGAAAGACATGGAGGCCCTGGAGAGCATCCAGAGAAGGGCAACAAAGCTGTGAGAGGTCTGGAGCACGTCTTATGAGGAGCAGCTGAGGGAACTGAGGTGGTTTAGTCTGGAGAAGGGGATGCTCAGGGGAGACCTTATTGGTCTCTACAGCTACCCAAAGGGAGGTTGAGGTGAGGTGAGGTCAGCCTCTTCTCCCACATGACTAGTGATAGAACTAGAGAGAATGGCCTCACGATGCGCTAGGGGAGATTCAGGCTAGATGATAGGGAAAAACTTCTCTGAAAGAGTGGTCAGGTGCTGGAATGGGCTGCCCAGAGAGGGGGTTGAGTCACTGTCCTTGGTGGTGTTCAAGGAATGTTTAGATACTGTATTAAAAGACATAGCTCAGTTGGGAGTTATTGGTGGTAGATGGATGGTTGGACTGGATGATCTTGGAGGTCTTTTTCAACCTTGCTGATTCTATGATTTTATGATTCCATCTCTATCTTTTACCTGAAATCATTGATTATAACTTGAATTAATCTTATCAGATTTATGGTGTTTATAACTCCCTAAGCTGGAAAGTAAAAATCCTATTTTGTCTGAAAACAGGCTATCTGCAAAGGGACAAATGACAGATTATCAGCACAAATTCACTCAGCAGAAATTAGACAAAAGTAACCTATTTTTACAAATATCAAAATTGTAAGTGATAAATGCAGAAATGTTCAATGTTTGTTTAATAATAATAATTTAAAAATCACAATATTTTCCCATTACAGAAGATATATTCTTACTTTCTACAAGAGATGAGAGAAACCCTCTTGTATATGGAGTCTTCACTACAACAAGGTATGTCTTAGGATCATGTTTGCCTTTGGAAACAAATACAGGAGGTCTTAATCAGGGATGTATTAATTAATTAAACCTATTAAAATAATTAAACCTCTCAGCTATGATCTTGAGGTACTTTAAGTAGAATTTTCATAAATGAAATAAATAATTATTTTGTCTTTGAAACTTTTGAATTAAATGCACTTAAGGACTAGGTATGCAATTCACAGTGGAATTACAAAGAAAAATTGCCAATGACTCCTCAATTAAGAGGCAACCACTATACTGGTTCCACAGCATATATAACCAAATAAAATATTTACAATTGAATGAATTGCAACACAATGACATAATCATAATAGTTTATAAATGACACATGGAACCTACTGAACACTAGAAAAATAACAGTCTATCAAATGCTCCCAAAAGCTAACAATACCAGGTATTGTCTGAGCAAAGCTGTCCACGTTGTCTGCTATTTAGCACCACGTATATTAACTCTCAGGTGTAGGATTGATCGAAAACCCTTCAGACTCAGTGGAATTACTGAATTGATTCACCAGATGAGGTGTGCTCTGAAAATGAGCTTACAGTATGCTTATCAGCCTGTCTTCTTCTCAGCTCTGTCTTCAAGGGCTCTGCAGTTTGTGTGTACAGCATGGCAGATATCAGAGCTGTTTTCAATGGCCCTTATGCTCACAAAGAGAGTGCGGATCATCGATGGGTGCAATATGAAGGTCGTATCCCATATCCCAGACCTGGTACCGTAAGTGTCTCCTTAATTACACACTTCTATCTTTACCCAAAGACAATCATACTTTTCTGTCCTCCATGGACTTTCAATTTATATTTTCCACTCAGGCAGGATGTTTCAAATTACCCTCACAACACTGTCTCTTCTGTTGAGAGCTCAGACTTCTACCTACCCTTTTTCAATTTATGTATATAAATATGCATTTTCCACTTCTCTGACATAACATTGTGTCCAGACCATTTCCTGATTTTCTCTCGTATTGTGGTCTCCTGTTGTCCAGCTCTATTTCTATCTGTTGGAATCACCTCTGAGGTGCCAACACTTCATAAAAAGCCAAATCCATGTTTTTATGGAGTATTAAATTATGATTAGGTATTTAATTTGGAATCTTGTATTTCTGTTATCTCTGTTAAAATCCCTTGATTTTAAAATTTCTTGAGATATGGTCATTGATTCTATTCTCTATGTTTGTACATGTGTTCTGTTTTGATATAAAATAAGGAGTTAGTTGCTGCAGACTTTATGTGATGGAATAAACGTGATAGGAAGAAAAGTGAAGTTTAATATCTGGAAAAACTTCTAAATCTGTGATACCTTGGATGCAATGATTAAGCCAAAACAAAGAAGAGAATGTTGAAAGAATTTAGTGAAGAACACTTATCGTACTTTTGTCTTGGTATTAAATTTGGAAAAGCACAGGCATACATTGCTGATGAAAACAGTATTTCCAGAAAATGCATATATTTTTAAAGTGTCAGCAAAACTTTGAGCAACTCTTGGTACATACAATTTGGAAGAGCAGTGGTTTAGCAGTAAAACAGCTATGGGATAGTTTTCTTGGTTTAGTACTCATTCAACTAGTTAGTAGTAAGAAGCAAAACAAATACAGCCAAACTTTGAACTACTGAGGTTGGGATACTGCTGGTACCTTGCCTAGAGGCCATGTGAGTGTCTTTGCACTACTTCTCTGACAGCAACATTACCATAACCATTGTTTGAAGTCCTATTATCTAACTTGTTTAGCTTTTCATTTCATTCTTTTCCTTATTTTTCTATGTTTTCTTCATTATCCTTCCAGTAGATACAACTGCTTGGTCTGTTCCCAATCTATCTATTGCACTTGATTGTTCATAGCACAGGTGTGTGCTCTGTGCTCTGATTCTCTTCTCTCAGCTTCAGACTGGTGGGAAAAGAAGTCTTTCCATAAAAAGTAAGGCAGCTCCAGCAATTGATTCAAACCGCCTAGAATCTGCATTACTGGAGCAAATAAGATCCTAATTTAGATGCTTACGCATCTCTCTCTCATACAGAATATATGGCACCCCCAGAAAAGAAAATTATATTTAATTCTTCTATTATTATTTTTTCAGCATGTGCAACTCCATTACTGGTTTAGAAGCGCAGATGCGTTTAGTTTTAAGTACAAAAATGGTGCCAGTGAGAACAATAGCTGGTCCCATGGCATCTAAAGAGATTAAAATAACTCTCTTGAAAACCTTACAGTGCCCCATAAGGATGAACACTCAGCACAGATAGACGGGTCATAAGCTCATTGCATTTTTGAGTGTATTAGCCATCACATGGTTGAGCTGGGATTCGCAAGGAAGGAAATGTCATGCTGGAGCATGTCAGCGCTGATCTTTATCGCTGATTTGAATATCCATGCTCAACAAGTATTTTCAAAGTTGGAAAGTTTAAAGAAAATGGATATTTTCCGTAAGCCGCCCCTTAATTCTTTAACTGCTTCCCTTAAGCACTTGATAACAGCTATGAGAAAATGGTCTCATAAAAATCCTTAGGAACTTTGGATTTCTGTAGGAGTTTGTCTGACCACAAGCTGAGAAGGGGAGTGGATTTTGCTGAAATAAGATCTCTGAAGAAAGATATCTGTAATGTTACTATGTAGATAAGGTAAATTTATTACTTCATTTGTCTTAGTGAGCCGGCAGTCTCAGATTGAAACAAACTTCAGGTGTGGTGGTTTAAGATAGCATACCCAAAGAAGAATTAGTTTCGTGTCATTCATTTTGAAGTGAGCTAGGCCAAATGTCTGAATCTGAGCAGATTTAGGCTGAGATCTAAAAAAGCAACACAGTGGTTGAAGGAAAAGAAGCAGCATGCTATGTGCCCGTGGAGTGCTGCAGTGTGTCTGAATGCAAAAGTGCTCTTTTGTAAAGATTAATTTCACCATTTCTTGCTAGCTATGGGGTGATTCAGGAATGCTTAGAACAAAGCCAGAGGGATAATCTGTCCATTTCTTAAAGTTACTGGAGCATTTTTGAAATTTAAGCTTTACTTAGTGCTATAGTGTTAGCTACAGCTTAGCATAGTCAGCATTGCCCCTATTTTCTATTTCTTGTATTTGAAGTTACTGGCAAAGTCTAAAAATGGCATTACTAGGAAATGCTTTTCCTTTGATGTTTTGCTTTGAGGGAAGAATTGACTTCCTTTCAGCATTCACACAGAAGCAGGAGACTGCTCACCCTAATTTAACTTCTGGCTCAGCTGCCTTTATCTCCCAAGTAAACAAAGCTGTTCACTATAGAGGCTGTGACCACTTTGATATTGAAATTTTGACAAAATGCTTCCTGCGGCAATTTGTGTCGGAGATAAACTCTCAACACAGCTGTGATGTCATACCTTGCTGGTGCTGAGCATCTTGCAGGTGATGCAGTGAGGTCTGCCTGCCCTCTGGTGTCTGCAGGACCCTGTCTATGCTGTCTGCTGCTCGGGTGCAGCACAACGTGCAGCTTTTCTCTCCAACTTCTCTTGGCAGTGTTAAAGAGCACATGGATGTCATATAAATTTAATGGAGACAAGGTTTGAAATCTCTTTCAATTTGGAAAAAAAATAAATTAAAAAAAACACACAGCAGGCAGCCCTGGTGTATAAAGGGCTGTTTGAAAATCAAGAGAGCTTTTGCTTTATCTTCCTGAGCAGTTTTAAAATTGGACTTGTGCATCTGCAGCTGTCCCCTGATAACAGTTCCAGTTTTCTTCCACTCTCTTAGGGTTTCACCAAGGAAATTATCCTTTGATAAAGGAATCATCAGGCACTTCCTGTAAAATGTGTTCCTGGATTCTCAAATAGAGTTTACATAATATCTTCCCAGTCATAACAGAAGACATTTGAACAAGATTTTCAGTGAAGTGGGAGAAAATAACTGTTCTAGTATATTTATATATCTGTGAATATTGCAGTATCAAAAGACCTCACGTTGCATATATCCTATTTGAAAATTCTGATGGGATACATAGGAACCATTGTCATTTCATTAACAGTGAACAAATGTCACTGTCATATCTTGAACAGAATCTCAGTGTTTAATGACACAGGTTAACAGTCTGCTCTACCACAGTGCCTAGGTATTTAATTGCAATTCAAGGAAACACTGAATATAGTAAGTCTGGATTTCTAACTAACTGATTTGCCAAAGGTTCCCCTCAAAAAGATCTGAATGAGCAAAGTAAGAATCTTGCATCTTACTGTAGTCTTAGCTACAAGAAGCATTCAGCACAGCAGCCATTGCTTTCTTCATTTGTATTTTGTATCTTGCCTCTCCTCAATTCAGATCTGAATACTGAGATCCTGTTTTCTTTTAATTCTTTTAATATTTATTTGAATAAATTACTAAATTATTTCTTTTTATTCTTTTTTTTTTTTTTTTAAGTTTCTGTATTCTCAGATCCTTCTGTGATCTTTCTCACTTTTTTTTTTTTTTCCCCTCCCTTTCCTTAGTGAAACCTCTTTGTTTTTGTTTTTGTTTTTTTTTTTTTTTCTGCTAACCCAGTGCACAGGCTGATGGAGGTGTGTTGTTCATCCCACTGGGACTTGGCTGAGCCACTGAGAAATACTGGCTGCCAAAAGCTGTCCCTTGTCCTCATGTCTGGTTAGTTTTGCTGTTTTAATAAGAGAGTGCATAAAACATCAAGGGTTGCACAGGTTTCCCTTGTTATTTTTAGACTTATCTTCCTCTTTTACCTGATCTTTTATGGGATAGACTGCATTCTTTGCTTCTCCAATTCCTGTCTCCTTTGATCTCCCCACTGTAAATGGGGCTGCTTAATTAAGTGAAATGTTTCACTTTATGGGCTTATTTTCCTGAGAAAGCCTCCTCCACCTCCTCCTACGTACCAACATGTTTTCTCGAACATGAGTCACCTCTCAATTCATTGCAGCCTTTCAAAATGCTGCAAACTCAGTCACCTTTCCAGCTTGAGGAGGTCAGCAGAGAATTGCAGTGTGCCACCTGCAAAGTCAAGTTCACTCACTTAGCTGCCTCCTACGATTATATACACATTAATGATTTCTTATGTCAGCCTTTGCTGTCCACCACACAGGTGTGTTAAATGGAAGAGCAATATGAAGGTTCAATACAATCACTGCAACAGGATAGAACAAATCTCATACATCCACTGGAAAACAGTCTCTGTGTAAATGTCTCTATTTACTGTGTAGCTCTGATCAGACTATAGAGAAGACACAGACTGTTTAGGACACTCAGAAACCAAGTTTTTTTCTTCAGAATGGCTGAGTCTACGACAGCATGTGAGTGCCTAAGCCCCAAGAGTCATTCCTTAGCTGCCATCTGTACCACAGAAAGTCCTAAACTACAAATATCCAATTTTCTGAGGTAATTCCGGGCATCACACCAGTCCTCGGCATTACATTTTAGTCCCTCAGTCCTCAGACTCTGCATTTCTCACTGAACTTATAATAGATTCACAGACTCATAGAATGGCTTATCTTGGAAGGGATGTTAAAGACCATGGTACCAAGGTTCCAATACTCCTGCCATGAATAGAGTCGCCAACTACCAGATCAGGCCGCTCAGGGCCTCATCCAACCTGGCCTTGAACACCTCCACGGATGGGACATATACAGTCTCTCCATACAGTCTATGCCAGTGCATTATATGCACATAAAGCTCAATTTGTTCAAAACAGTAGTGACTAGCTGAAGGTAATTCAATTTCTCCACTTTTTGCTTGATAACTATAGTAGAACTCATTT